TGCGTACGCACGTAATTTTCAAAAAATAGCGCACGCTAAAATAGTGCACGCGAAACGTTAACTACGTTTTGCACTTTGCGTGCGGTATTTTAGCGCACGCTATTTCTCGGAAATTGCATGTGTACGCAAAGGGTCTTTGCTCTCCTCTAATGAGGATTTCTGATGAAAAGTTGGCTGAAGCCAAGACGAGCAGTTTAAAAAATGGCAGCCCCCAGGATCATCATGGCTGCTGCCGCTTTGGCGGCGTCGTGAGCGCGACGTCGGCGGCATCCTCGCGACTGCGATTTTCAATACGGGACGACATTGCACTCGGTTTGGAAAACCAAGTAAGGTGGACAACGATCACCGGCAACTTGATGCTTACGACGAGCAAACATTAATCGGCGAAGGTCAGTACACTCTTGCCGAGGCGACGCATGCGGACACGACCGGTCGACCGCTCGCGTCGTATTCTCACGTTTAAACACATGTAAAATGTCACTCTGAACCAGAAATCTTGTTTTTCAAGTTACAGCATTTCGCGTGTGAAATAAAAATCGTGACTGTATCTTGGTGGCGTTGCAAGAGCGAGGTGCTTGGGCTTTTGCGTCGCGTGCGCTAACGCAAGCGCTAAATTTAGCGCTAGCGTGCGCTAAAATTGTGTACGTTATTCTAAAACTCCCTATTCTGTTGACAATCCGTCACGTGACGTCGTGAGTGTGTGGGGAGCTATGCCTCGTCGTTCGGTGGCCGTATTTCCCGCGAGATGTTTTTGATCGTGATGCGTGTGTTCTCGGGTCCCCATCATATCGTCGAAACAACTTTCGTCGACACTACTTTTCGTGGAAGCTCGTTTCGTAGACACATGCCCCTGCGATGTTTTGTCGACAACATATTTTTACAGCAGTAGCTATTAGTGCCCCTTCCCGGCAGAAAGTGCTCGGATACAAACGCAGAGCCCCACTGTACAGTCAGGGACAAAAGTCTCCAGGACGTGCGAGCTGCGGCTGAAACGCATCGCTCTGCCATCTGCCGGCGGGTCGTCTGGTTTCGAGATCACAGAAAAGCGCATGCGCGTCCTACTCTGCCTGCAAACATGTCTGTTTTCCCGCTCTTCTGCGGCACAGTGCCTAACTCGGAATCGGGCGCGTGGTACCGCCTCGGAGATAGCGCTGGCGGCTGACGAGCGTCTGCTACACATTCCGAAACTCGAGATACCGCCTGGGGCATTGCGCCGCATTTCGCCGTGTCAGCGCACCTTGCTTTATAACCAGTTGAGCTTATCGCTCAGTTGAGATGCCGTGACTTCTTGCTTGATATGTGCCATGTCAGTAAGCGCTATCTCCGAGGCGGTACCACGCGCCCGTTTCCGAGTTAGGCGCCGCGCCGCAGAAGAGCGGGAAAGCGCACATGTTGGCAGGCACAGTAGGACGCGCATGCGCTTTTCTGTGATCTCGAAACAAGGCGACCCACCGGCAGATGGCAGAGCAATGCGTTTCAGTCGCAGCTCGCGTGTCCTGGAGACTTTTGTCCCCGACTGTACATCAGAGGTGCTGCTCTACCTTTCCCCGTCGTTCCTCACACACGGCAAGGCTCTCAACCGCTCGCTCCCTCCCCTCCCCTCCCCCCCCCCCCCCTCCCAGGCTGCCACTGTTCCGAAAACCCATTTGATTGCGAGAAGAATGCTCTCCCTGGAGAGGCTGTGGGGGGGGGCCGCCCCTCCAGCAGGGCCCGCCCCTCCAGCAGTTGCTGTTGCGAAATACCCTTGTGGTCACACTGTGTGGACATGCTCCTTTGCCTCCCCACTGTCGCCGCCAAAACTATGTGTGCGAGCTGTTCTGTAGAGGCACTCAGTGCCTCTATGTAACAGCTCGCATAAATATTTGCACTTCCACCACAGGCGCGGTCACGGGCGCCCCTGTTGTGAAAGAGTGTTTCACCAAAAATAAAAAGCACATCTCTCTGTTTATCTCCAACGCACGCAACATTTCTCACCATTGTTCTACCAAAGCACACATCTCACACACGTCTCCTACGTCAAGAACTTGCTGCAAACGCTGCACTGCACACTGGCTGTAGGCAGATCTCCTTCAATATGCCTTTCAATGATGTGGCAGCCAATTGCAGCACACCAAGTGTGGTCGTTTGAAACTTATTTTACTAAGCCGCTCATGGGCGTACCAACCGGGGGGGCAAGGGGGGCGCTTGCCACCCCAGTTCTCAGAGGGGGAAGGAGGCAAGACGTGTGTTTTTCCCCCACTGAAACAGCCGCCACTGGGCAGGGTACACGCTGGCTGGTGTGGCCCAAGGGATATTGAGGGCACCGGCCCTGGGGTTGGGGGGTGGGGTCTGGTTTGCCCCCCCACTCAAAAACAAGTTGGTACGCCACTGAAGCCGCTAAAAGCTAGCACGTGATGTACTGAGGCGTGTTTACCTATGCCTTAGGCTCCCTCCCCTCCTCTCCCTGTAAACCATGTTAGACGCAAAAAGTTTGTTGCAAGAGCAGCAGGATTGTGTTCGACGAAACATTGCAAGGTCTGTCGATCAATGTGGCAAGCCTTTCGATGAAACAAATTGTTAGTGAAACGTTGCATGTCAATAAGACGTCGTTCGACAAACTGATTGCCACCGCTCCCTTTCTCCTCTTCCTTGATGCGCCAAGCACAAGCAGTGGGTCACAAGGTCCGGGGAGCGTATTCGGAAAAGCTTGTGGAGCAAGTCACCAGTGCAATTTTGGCCCCCTGGTTGGCGCATTTTCGTGGACGTCGCATCGCCTAGTTTACAGGGGGGGTACAAGACTTGGCTAAACACGCTTCAGTGATTCACATGCAAGCCTTTATCTGGCTGCCCAGATTTGCTTACCCAATAACTGTAAGCAAGTCTGGGAGCCTGCATGAACCGCCAAGGCGTATTTGCCTAAGCCTCCCCCCCTTCCCCTTCTCTTTCCCTGTAAACCAGGCAATGTGGTGTCCACAAAAATGCACCAGTTGGAGGGGTGCAATTGGCCCGTTGGCTTCCTCTGCAAACTTTTCTCAATACGTGTCTGGGGCGCAGTGGAAGAAGAGAGAGGTGTCTGAGACAAGGTTAGAAAAGGGGCCGAAATTTCGCTCGGGCTTCGAGCTGCTCCCGGCACGGGAATCGTTGGTTTAGGGGCCTGGCACATGCGCGTTCGTGTGCCGCACGACCCGGAAAACCTTTGCGCAAATAAGGATGGTTCCCCGGACCCCTAGTTGTGTTGCGCACCCCGCGGCGTTTGTCAGAAAGGCAAGTGAACATTCGACACACTTGTTCCATGGTCGGCGCCGTTGGACACCTCCCTCTTTTTCCACCTTGGCCTGGGGTTTGATTCCCATTGAGTTGCTAGTAGATCTCTACTAAAAATGTGTCTTCTCTTTGGATGCTTATGCACTGCCTGCTATGGTATGGTTTATGTTGCCTTTGCCAGTGTGTATGCTTTTTTTTCATGCTGGAGCATAGAGCTTTTCATATGAAATTCACCCCATAAACAATCTCTCTTAAAGGTGTTTCTAACTCGAGTTTTTCAGAAAAATGTGACCCACTGAGCGAGGGTGTTGCATGCAGGTGAGAACCCGGCACAGGCACGAGTCAGTAGTGCAACCCCACAACACACAAGGACGGAAGGCGGTTGGACTACCCTGCCGTCTCCCGACAAGAACCCCATGACCCGTCTCACGATGCTGTAGAATTTATATGTGCGTATAACCGCCGCGGTCGAGCAGATTACAAAGCATAGAGTCCGTCATGGGGAAGCAACGGTATAAGCTGGTGAATTAGCACCGGTACTGTTTTGCCACTAGCATGGCCAAACTGGGTCGTATCGTCCTAGAAAAGATGTACTGTAAACGACATAATTTTCGCGGGTTCAAATTTTCGCGAATCGGGACAAAGCTGAAAATTTGAAATGATTCGCGGGTTCTAATTTTTGCGAATCGAGTGTAGCTTCCGTAGCATTGACATATTCCCCGAATTGTTCGCGGGACGTATTTTTCGCGAATTGTTTTAGAGATTTGCGAAAATTAGGTCCTCGCGAAAATTTAGTCGTTTACAGTATTTTAAAGAAGAGCGTGAAGTGTATAACGACCGCATCTTTCCTTGTTGCAGAACCATTGAGAGACCCTTCGGACGGACGGTCGACGAGGAAAGACTCTGCTTGTGTGAAATGACGAGGAAGGGCAGTGTGTTGTTGACCCGAAGGAAACGCTTGGCAAGATCCCCTCCAACCCGCAGACCGACGGACGAGTAGAAAGAGTAAACGAGGCTGTGGTTTCCATAATGGACCTTTGTCGAGAAGTCTTCTGCGTGTGCACAGCCACTCCTCGCATGGTGGCAAAAGCTCAAACTAAGGTTGGCATCAGGAAGGGGAGTTGCACTACCTCTCTTGCCTTCTCTGCGACTTGTCTGAGTTGCAGGATGGAGGAGAGGTAGTGCAATTCCCCTTCCGGATGCCGATTTCACTTAAACTTTTGCCCCTTCATGTGGTCTTTATGTGTAAAAGTTCCATCGCCACTTCATTGCAAGATCATTGTCATGAGGGTTGGGATTCGAGATAAAAAAGGAGGTCTGGCAGAATCTCGGCACCCTTTTGTCTTTGTTGATCAAGGAAGTGACAGTCATTTTAATTATGTTGATTGCGATGAAAGTTTGTGTTGAGCTTTATCTAATCAGTTTTTGCCGCGTGTATCTTTGTTTTTATTCTAAGCTTCCCTCCACCTGTAATTTGCTATTGATGTGATTCAGTAAATTCACTTTTTATATTTAAGATTTTTTTTGGCTCTGTGGTATTGTGATATATTGATTGCTTAGATTTGTGTTTGTTTTTCCTTTGTGTTGCGTTTTTATTACGCCATTTTGTTGTGAAGGTGGTTGGGCCTTATCGGGTGAAATCCGTTTGCCTCTTTTGAGGAGCTTAAATGCAATTATTATTGGTTAGTGGACATGGTAAACATCTTTTCCGGGATTGAAAAAGTATCTAGACGTCAACGGACAATTCACAAAGAAAAATGTCCAATGCCAAAGAGGGAAACATTAGCATGCACAATATGAATAAAAAAGGTATATTACTTGAACAGGAAGAGTTATTCTCTGAATACTAGTTTTTATTTGTATGTTTAATTGCTCCTTTTTGTACCATGTTCATTATTCTCAGAATTCTAGTTTTCATTTCATAACCTATATTTATTTGCTCCTTTTTATGCAATGTGCATTCTTTGAATACTAGTTTTCAATGAAATATTTATTATCATTTTTATACTAGTATTTCCTATACATGACTTGCACATGATGTCGTCACACTATAGGCTAGTGGTTGTTCCTCTTTGTTTAGAGGATGGAGAAATTCAGTGGTCGGAAATGCTGCTTTTGGAGGTGTTCGCTCGGCAGCAAGGTCGCCGTCACACTAGCCGGTGCGACGTCAATGCAAGCCATCTGTACAAATTTTCCTCGCAGTTTTCACAAAAGGAGTAGGTGTTAGTGCCCCTTCCTGGGAAAAGATGCTTAGGTACGAACACAAAACCCAACTCTACAGCAAACCATTCCCTACTCTACTGCTCTTCCTCTCCGTCGTTTCTCACACACGGCAAGGCTCTCCCTCGCTCCCTCTCCTTCCCCCGTGCAGGCAGCCACTATTTAGAAAAACATGTGATCGCAGGGAAAATGCTCTCCTTTACCTTCCACTCCCCCAGCCCCACCGGCAGCCGCTGCTGCGAAATACCCACGAGGTCCCTCCGTGTCCATCTCCAACATATGCGACATCTAACACAAACGTTCCACCAAACCACAGATCTCATCATCCGTCTCCTACATCAACCCCCTTGAAAGCAAAGAACCCATTACAATCATTGTGCCAAAGGCAAATAAACCTCTTTCAGCTTACATTTCCACAATGCAGCAGCTACCGCTGTCGATCGCAACACATTTTGTGCATTTGTTCACATTTTTTTTAGCATAACCAATTATTTAGTAGATTCTTGTGGATACAGCGCAGTCCACTTATATCGATAATGAGAAAACCAGAAAATGCAATCGTTATAACCGATTATCATTGTATTTTTAGTCTAGAAACTATAAACTGATTGTTATAAGCGGTAGGGTATATCGTTAAATGTGGTATTGTTATAAATGGATTGCATTGTATAGTATTCTGTAGAGAAATCAATTTTCGGGCATTAAAGATACAGACCTACGGTCTGTTGAGGTCATGAGTAGCGGGACAAGCTCCTCCCGAAAAGCCCTCCGCCCTTTTTACTTTAGCGGAGCAAATGCTGGAAAGAAGGAAACCAGCAGTCGTGGAGAGTACTGTGGAAGGAAATTCTCTGATCTTGCAACAGACTAGTTGGAGGTTACAGATATGCAATCCCAGCTAAGTGTGTGTGCCGTCTCAACGTCACTCTTTTTTCTTTTCTGTATGCAGACTTAAATGGGACGCTGCCGTCCTGGGTGGAAGCGACCTTTCCGTGTGGACACTGCGACAGCCTCTTCTCCTCCCAGGAGTATGCGGAGAACCACCGGAGGACAATGCACCGCAGCGCAGAGGGCCCCCACCAGTGTTGCTACTGCCCCTACTCCAGCGTCAAGCGAGCGGACGTGGTGAAGCACGAGCGGACCCACACGGGAGAAGCGCCCTTTGCCTGCGGCGTCTGCGGCAAGGCCTTTACGGAGCGGAGCCACCTGAGCAGGCACCGGAGCGTCCACACGGGGGAGCGACCGCACGAGTGCGCCACTTGCGGCCAGAAATTCGCCCAGTCGGCGGCCCTGAGGAGGCACGAGAGGACGCACACCGGGGAGCGTCCCCACGTGTGCGCGGCGTGCGGCAAGAGGTTTGCCCAGCAGGGCGACCTGGTCCGCCACACGCGCATCCACTCCGGCAACAAGGCGTACTCGTGCCACATGTGCGAGTACCGGTCCGGCGACTCGGGTCACGTCAGAAAGCACCTGCTGGCGGTGCATCTGAAGGAGTACCCCCACGCGTGCCGGTTCTGTGGGAAAGGGTTCCTGGGGCCGTCCAACCTGAGGAGGCACGTAAGGAAGAAGCACACCTGGGAAGACGAGGAGGACTAGCGACTGCGGCGAACCCACGGCACCCGTACCCGACCTTGTGATGGCAGAAGTGGACCTCGTAGAAAAGAGTTCAGTCTTGCTTCTACTATTGCTTTGTTTGTAATGACTGCGAGTTCAGCGTGCTTGCGCAGCGAGCGAGTTTGCTTTTTGTGTGGAGGATGCGGCGATGTTGGAGTGCCAATTCTTGATCAAAAGGATGGTGGGCATAGACAGACAGCTAGCTAAGGCTAGCTGCCTGTCTATGCCCAGAGTCTCCTTTAAATCAAACAAAGCAAGGTCGTTGTCTGCTCGTTGCGCAAAGGGAGCGGAGGCGTCGAAAGAAGGCATTCGGACGCCAAAAGCTGGCGTAGCCCCATACTTCTAGCAATGGCTGCGTTACCTTCTTTAGGACTTTCGGCAGTGCACCTGTGAACTTCCCCCTTGTCCCGCGGGAAAATACACGTTTTGTAACGATAGCCTAGCGTGTGGTTGCTCCGACTCCCTGGAAGGGGGAAGGGAATAAGTGGGACTTGAGTAAACTTCGGCACTTCCCTCGTAGTCGCTGAGTTTCACCAAACCAAAATGAATTCTACGAGATCAATGGTAGTGGTGATAGACCTTTTCCGAAAGACTGCACTACATTGGCAGCTGTGGAATACTTGCACAACGGCAGACTAAAACTGCAACATCACAGCACACTTTATGTGTTTGGTTGGATTAGAAGGCTAAAACACCCACAGAAATAAGTGGTGAGCGCAGTGATGTTACACTTACGACGCTGTTTGTTTGGCTCGTCGGTTCATAGCGTTAGCCATGCTCAGACTTTGGCTCTCATGAAATGACTTGCACGTTCCACAATGTCAGTACTGCTATTGTGCAGTGGTTCCGACCGTCTAACAATTGGCTAAAATAAAACTTTCGAAAGGGGAAACTTTCAAACTTTCGTAAGTACTCCATATATGGTTCATTTTAGTTAAGTTTTACGTCTTCTTGATTTCTGAAATTAGACGGCTTGGGAAAACCAGAATTTGCAAGAAAGCCCGGGCTTTTCAGTGAAGTTTCGGTTTTCACACAACTGACAATTTATGATCTATCTAGTATCTATGTATAACAATTTGCTGGATCGTGCATCCCCGCTCAGTCGCTGCACCTCATGTGTGGCCATCGGACGGCCATCTTGGGATACGGAAAATTACCTTTTGGAGCATTGCGGAGGCTGGGCGGCAGCGTGCTGGAGACACGTTTTCTGCTCGTTCGTGGTCATTCGCCAAAAAAGTTTGATAAAACCCCGTGTAAATGGTAAGAATTTCCTTTGAGAACATGTGGAAATTTTTACAAAATTGCAGCACTGCAGGAGAAAGGTGCCACTCGTCAAATGCAAGTCTTGCCAGTCTCGCGACATGATCAAAGCTTTCTTGGCTTGCCGAAGTGCTGTGTCTCTGCCTTCGCACGCTTGGATACCGATCAAAAATCGACGCCGTGTGGATTTGTCTTGCGAGTGCAACATGCGTGAAGACTTGTGTGCTCTGGAGCAGCATATTATACTCCTACGACTGTATTTGTAACTTGCGACACTCGCAGTTCAGAAACGAGCTTGATCCAGTGGCAACAGAAGTGGGATAGGGGAGCATGGCAACGGCGACAGATTGTACACGGCCATATGGGCAGCATTTAAAGAATTTTGATCTCGCCGTTTTATACTTTTGCGTTCGAAATTCTACCTTCCTCCACAGCATTGCTCTATTTGTGCTGTCATGTGATCCATTCGAGTACATTTGGAACATAGCCATGGTTAATCGTGCATAATAGCCACCTCCGATTTTTTTCCTTTATTGATAGCAACTCACCTGAACAGCTGGGTGATCCAGAAGACGTCTGGATGACCCAGCATGACACTCCTTCAGAACTTTGCCACAACGTCGACTCTTGATAAGTATCCAAGCGTGTGAAGGCACAGAGACGTAGCACTTCGGCATGCCAAAAAAGCTTCGGTCATGCCGCGAGAACAGTGAGACTTGCGTTCGACGAGTTCTGCCTTTTCCTGCGGTGCTGCGCTTTCATAAAAATTTTCACGTGTTCTCAAAGGAAATTCTCACCATTCACACAAGGCTTTAGAAACGTCTCCGGCGATTGACGATGAACGAGCAGAAAACATGTCTCCAGCACGCTGCCGCCCAGCCCCCGCAACGCTCCAAAGGGTAGATTTTCTGTGTCCCTCCGATCCGACGTCACCCACCAAACAGGACCGCTCACACCGCCTTTAGAAAAAGCATTGTCCCTCTGCTTCCTGTGCAAGCATTATAAAAAAAAAAAAAAAAATACTAATTATTTTTAATAAAAAAAGTTTTAGCACTTTATTTTTTTTTTTTTTCTTTGCTTTTAGTCGTGCGATTTTAGAGGGACATTGACAGGGTATTTATGGTGTCCAAGGTTTTTATTTGTACCACATACTCTATGATTTGTACATGACAAATGAGGGCCCAACTGCTCGGAATACAAATTGCGACCCGAAAACCGCTGATCGAGAACTGGCCGGTTTGAGCAGTTTGAGTCGCGCTCACTCTCTTCTCCGTGGTCACGTGTCCTTTTCTATGGTTTAGACAACTAGCGGACATAAAGTCAAAAGTCATGGGTAAAAGAAGGCACACACTCAATACTAAAAATACACAAGCATATAATACCCATTTTTTTTTATTTTTTTCTTCTTTTTTGTGTGGTCTCTAGAAAACTGCAAACACGTTAGTTCGTTTCACACGCACTGGCACCGTTCGAGTTCTCTCCCAGAATGCATCGCACTCACAGAGTGTTGCACGGAAAACTGGACTCAAACGAACTCGCCAAATGCACCGAGTGCAGAAGACTGACGCTGCCGCCATCTATGTTGTAGAAAAGGTACCGACTTCAAACCGAAACTAGCGCCTTTCTGTTCGGAGTGATGCGTGGGAATGCGAGAATGCAGTCGCTACCAACGTTTATGTACAAACGTTGGTCGCTGCAACCTGTAGTTTATAGTTGCGATGACTTCAAGCAGCTAGGCTGCCGTAGAGATAATTACAGACGGCGTAAATTTCCGCAACCAGCTGTCTACAAAGCAGCTGGTTGCGATCTTTCAATTCTTATAACCGTTTACACTGAAGAAAACTGATGATGCTGTCCGAGCAGAAGCTTGATCCGTTTGAACATGGTATTATTCGTGAACCACTGAAAGGGTACGGCTTAAAACTATCCTGTTGTAATATCCAGCAAAACTGGGACTTTCGATTTGGATCGTCAGGATTAGATATTAGCCTTGCCGAGGGCGTCGAGAATTAGAGTTTTCTCGAACAAAATACGACGGGGTAAGTTAGCTGACGTAGGTAAATGTTAAACATGATGATGTTGCCCAATCCTCGGATAAAAAAGTCTCCATCTTTAGCTTTCTCTGCTGCTCATTGGGCAGTCAGAGGTTTCTGCTGGGGGAGTTTTGTCGAAAAATGTTAAATTTTTCACCCGCACCCGGATGGTGATAGACCTCTCGGGGGCCGCTGTTGCGTTTGTTCTGAGCATTTCTTTACACACTGGTATATTTCAGCGTTTGTGCGGCAACCCAGGCGAAAATTTCTAACTGGGACCAGTTGGCACCTCAACTGGTTTCAACTGGGACTAACTGGTCCCAACTGGGAATCAACTGGGACTAACTGGTCCCAACTGGGAATCAACTGGGACCAATAGGAGTCCAACTGGGGCCAGCTGAGGGGTCAACTGGTTTGAACCATTCCCAGTTGGGAGTCAACTGGTTTGAACCATTCCCAGTTGGGAGTCAACTGGTTTGACTCCCAGTTGGGAATGGAGTGCACTGGAACCAGTTAGGAAGGTAACTGGTTGGAGCGATTCCCAGTCGGACTTCAAATGCCTTTCCCGTTCCCAGTTCACACTGGGCAACAATTTGGACAAGTTGGGGGTGTATTGATTTTTGCTAATGAAGAAAACTAAAAACACTAAAATTTTTAGATTTATACAAATAGGGAATTTTAATTACTGGGGTACATTTATATATTTATAAAAATAATATAAAAATTTTAATGAACTAAATAATTTTTTAATTGGAAAATATAATTAGTGACAAAATGTGTTCACCTAAATGAACATTTAGTGCATTATTAAAATATATTAAAACATTTATTTAAATACCTACAGTATTTTTTTTTTCTTTTAATAAATAAATTTATCTTTTGACTAATCAGAGCTAGCCGGCCGCCGTGGCACGCGGGTGCGGATTAGTGGTACGCGCTGTCGACAGATGGCGCTGCCTATGCTGACGCCGGAGTCGGACGGACGCGGTAGAGAAGGGTCGCCATCGCCCAAGTTGGCGTCGTTATGAAAATGTCAAAACTACAGCTGCGCTTCTTTGGACCTAACTGTACACACACCACGGTGGCGGCGGTGAACTTCGAGGATGGAAAGATGCAGTTCAGCGATCGGAGGGCACCCAGGAAAGACCGGACGCACATAGACCGGACGGAAGAGAACACGCCGCGGAGAGCACAATGGCGAAAATGGCGGGACGTCTACCTCGAAAATGTTCGACTATTGTGACAGAGATTGCAGGGTGGGAGCGCTACCGCATCTTATCAGGACTTCACCTGCGCAACGCGGGATCACGGGTGAGCACCTTTCTCCACGCGATGGGAAGAGAAGCTGAGGACGTCTTCACTAACAGACGCCAGCGGCCGATCTTCCTTCATCTCATGAATACCACCTCTGAAAAAGCGATTCAACCGTCGCAAGCAAGTGGCTAAACCCGGAGCGTGTACGTCACCGAACCTATTTAGTTTCATTCTCCAAGTTTTTGACAATAAAGTATTGTCAACCTTCCATTTTGTGCCGTGTTTCATTGTTGCTGGAGTTGGTACCAACTCCAACTGGGACCACTTGTAATAGCCGATTCACACGACGGACCAAATCGCGATTTTCGTCCGCGGACCGTGTACCACGTGACCGGCACGTCACCGATTCCTGCGATCCGCGCCTCCTCCGCGGAGGCGCGGACTGATAAAGTCGAGCGCCTTTTTCACTCGCGGACGTTTGGCGGCAGACTGACTTGGAAAGCATTTAGTCTGGCAACGGTAGATGGTTTTCTTGGTATTTTGCTTCTGTGCGTTCAAAACAAAAATGGCGCGTCGTTGCGTTTTGTGCGTTTGTTGGTTCATTTTGTCGTACGATTCTTGGTTCCACGCGTGAAAGAAACTCCAGAAACTTTGTCCGGCTGACGCGACGCAGGTTCCGGTGCTCCTCCGGGTCCGTGTCAAGAAGCTCCCGTCAAGCACGCCGCGATAATTCTTGCACGTCCAATCAGGATTTCACCGAGCAAGCCCTCTCTTGTGGATGTGGTGTGCTTGAGTGTTGTGCACGAGCGCGGAGTGTGTGAAGGCATCTCCAAACGCCCCTCCGCGAGCCCAGAAGTTCGTCGCGTCTACGCCAATGCTTTCTCGGGCAGGATCATGCCTGTGTCACTGTCATGCTTTGGGTTAGTAAAGTTAGTGGCGCTTCGCGCGAAGCCTGACCCGGTGTTTTGTTCTCGATCTGTACGTAGCAGCGGCGTACGATTCTTTATCGCGGTAGCAACCGTCGATTTCTCTCTTGGACAACGGTGCTACTGTGCGATGTGGGAGTTTCGCGGCACTGTGGGGTGCGAACAGGTTCGGTCCGTCCTCACTGGCGTCTGCTCGTCGTCTCCCTCGTGTGGATGCGCTTGGGAGACGGACGAACCGCGGATATGTCGTCACGTGATCAATCCGTCCGCGGATCAGTCCGTCGTGTGAATCGGCTATAACTGGGACCAATTCCAGCTGGGACCAACTCCAACTGGGACCAGTTGCAACTGGGAATTGTTCCATAAACCAGTTGCAACTGGGACCAACTGGTCCCAGTTGGACGACTCCAACTGGGACCAGTTGCAACTGGGAATTGTTCCATAAACCAGTTGCAACTGGGACCAACTGGTCCCAGTTGAAAATTTTCGCCTGGGAACAGAGCGATTTAAAACCTGCAAATAAATCACGGGTTGTCAATTGCTTCCTTCGGGAAATAGCAGACGCTCACAATTCAAGCTTGCGTTTGATTTCATGGCCCGCGGGACGCGATATCTATGAGAAAATCTACTTTTTTTCCCGTTCGGTTCCGCGACACATCGTAGCAAACGAACCCTCGTCGTCTGCTCTAGCTCCTCGCCGGCTCGACCGGAGCGAGGCATGACGGGATTGCATTTTGGCGCACTCCCGATTTTCTCGGTGCAGCGAGTGCATGCACGCGTGGGGTGTCAGCGCTGAAACGAACTCGGAGAGTGCAACCACTCGTGGAGTGCCGGCCGAAACGAACCCGTTCCACGCTGCGAGTGGGCACGCGTGGGCACCGTGAAACGAACCCGCTATAAGTGAAAGAAAAAAAAAAAAAAGTTGTACAGCCACGTGATTTTTGGTAACGTTCTCGAGTTTCGGTTTCGAACAGTTGCGTATTTACTATTTTGGCTTTACTAAATACACATGACCTTGTAGCAAATATTGATTGGGTAGTCTTCGAACACCATACTAAATCGCTTAACAAAAAAATTAAAAAACAAACAAAATTGGGGGCGTGTCACTTTTTTTTTTATCCAAAGCTTAAATCAGTCAAGTCAGCCACTCAGTCAACTCAGTCGCCATCGACGCCAAGCAATGTCAGCCTACACACATGAATGACGACGCACGACGGGACGGGACCAGGTAATCGTCATTTTCGCTCTAAATTCCGAATCTGTGAGACCTTAAACAGAACCATGCAGCGTTACAAGCTGCAGCTGTCGCATCTTACGAAACGGAAACTTGAAATCGAAGCTGACATCGCTTCGCAGAAGGCCATCCTGGACGCAAACGGCGTCGGCATGAACGAACCGCTGATCGACAACGAAGGCTTTCCACGCTCGGACATAGACGTCTATAAAGTGCGACACGCCCGACACCGAATCATCTGCCTGCTCAACGATCACAAAACCCTGATGAAGGACATCGAACAGGCTCTTCACGCGTTCCACGCCAACCTGCCCCGGAACGGAAACAGTCCTTCGTCGCCGGCTCACGAGGGACCCCCGAATGATGCAGCAGTTGACGTCGTCATGCCCACAAGGACATTTGCCGTCGTCAAAGACGTGGAGATTGGCTCTCCTGCTGACATCGCCGGGCTCCGAACGGGGGACGGACTCGTGAAGTTCGGCTCCGTCAACGCCGATAACTTCCAGGGTGTCGACGAAATAGCAACGGTGGTCCGGCACAGCGTGGGCAAACCAATCAACGTCGTTGCGGTCCGCGGTGCTTCCAGCGTCCCCGTGTTTCTAACCCCGACGCAGTGGGCCGGAAAAGGACTCCTGGGTTGCTCCATTCACCCAGCCTGACCGATTGTCGCCCTCTGCCTGCCTGGATTTTGTTAAATTCATAATAAAGTGCTCGTAGGGATTGTTAATGTGCGTGAGCGCCAACGGCACGGGGGGCTTTCAGTTGTCCCGCCTTCTGCCCGAGCTTTCTACCTCCGACAGGGAGTTTTGCAATAGGGGGCCCCTATGCTCTGGGCCATCCAAACAGCTTGGGGGACCCAAAGCATAAGCACCCCCTATTCTAAAACTCTCCCTCTCTTTGACATCTTGCGAGTCTCTGGCATGCACGCGGAGCCAAGCCATAACAAAAGGCAACGAGTGTTCGAAGCTGGGCATCTGAAAGAGACGCCTCATAGTTCTTATCTTGTCGGTGTGATGGCCAAGCGCCAGACTCGCAAGCTTGGGGTTCTGGGTTTGAATCCACTTGGACTGTTCTATGCACTCTTCTCAAATTATCCACTTATCACTCTCCTGCGGATTCGTTTTGTGTAACAGCAGAATTTTCTTGGGGGTTGGGGAGAAAAGAAATGCACATTTAAAAAACCATACAGTCGGAGGGAAGGCAAGGCTTCTCATTAGATTTGTGCTGCAAAGGCTATAAATGACAGTTGGCTCTTCTCTGCTGGAAAAAGATGGGGCAAGCTTTGAAATTCGGAAACGGGCAACCCTAGACGAGCTTGAATAGTCAATACGGTTGAAATACAAATGGAATCGCAGAGAATTACACAGTGATGCGTGACAACACAGATACCAGACTGGTGCTACTAGCGAGATCGTCTCGCAAATCCAAGTAGTCTTGTCTTTTTAACAAGGACCCCACTAACATGGATGCCCTGCTTTATGGACACCATTTTCGGGGACAAAGTAGGTAAATATGTGCATTTTTGTCTCATTATTACGGACAACTTGCATTATGGACAATGTTTTTGGGGGATTTGAAAGTTTAAAAAGTGCAACAAAACGAGGACAATAAAGACGCAGACGACAGGACAAGCGCTATTGTGTGTCTTTATTGTCCTTGTTTTGTTGTGCTTTTTAACCTTTTAAATCAGTATGAACCAACTCGCCCAAACACAAATTTAATTCAACGTTTTTGGGGGAACGGATGTCTCCGTAACCAGACATCACTGTGCTGCATTTCACTGACACTATAACTTGCTCTCCCAAAAAGCTGCTGAAGGTTTAGTAGCTGGAAACTGGTAACCTTAGATAGAATTCAAGATGTCACTAATCCACAATAATGCAACTAATAGGAGCTGTAACTCTCCAGGAATGTTTAATGTTTTGTTATTGCACTGTCCTGTGCACATATAGTATCTGCTTAGCAAACAATAATACAACAATCTCGTTATAACGAAGTTAATGGGATGGCAAAACAATTTGATAAAAGTGGCAATTCTATAAAAGAGAGCCAAAATGCAGCAAAAGGAGCCTTAAATGTGGACGGGAACACTTTAAAACACTGACCGTATGCTTAATCAGACAAACCTTGGTTATGGACAACTTGCGACAACTTTACCGAATAAAAAAATAATGAAGTGGAGTTTGTCGATAATTTCATTTGGACATCGGTTCTCCTTCAGCTGCTCCAGGCATTGCAAAGACACAGTCACTGCCACTGCACTCCACTTCATTTCAGAGCAGCCGTAGGATGTTTTGAGTCTCCGCAGTCGTCGGCGTTTCCCAAGGTGCCTCTCCGACATCCCTTTGCGTTTACCTTGGTCACACGCAATGTCTACGATCGCAGCATCCGTGGCAGAAACATTCGGAATGTCCACACCAACAAATGCAAATGAATCAAACTTATCTACAATGGCTTCACCAACATGTTTGCACATACTCCCGTAGAGATCGTTGCAGCTTCAGGAATCAAGCGCCGGCTTGGCAAGCATGCTCGTGGGAGAAAATCCGACTTGCGCAAAGCAATTGGCTATCTTACACCTTTGGGTCGCGGGTGCGCTCTCTTGCATGAGAAACTCTTCTCGAACCATCCACTAAGCCTCGCTTGTTCTTTAAAATTGTGGTCAGTGTCGAACAGCCGATGCCAAAATGTAGAATTCTTTGGTGATTTTGGACTTGCGCCGGCCACTTTTCTGAACCTTGCAGATCTCAGCGACTTTCGGTGAAGACTCCCACACTGCCATACAACGCACGTGTACACCGCAGGCGTGCCTGCGAGGCACGCATGTCAGGGTTTCTCGAAGAGAACATCCCCTCCGGGCTCCTTTGACCCGATTCCGACAGGAGTCTGGCAGCGTTGGCCGCGGGCGTAGCAAGTAGCATCGGAACATGCTGCTCCCACTGCTCCTTGACCTTGTCAGCGCATTGGCATTAGAAGTGGCGCTCTGCGCGATCTGCCCTTCGTCACCCGTTTGCTTCGTTTTCTTGTTTGCCGTTTGTCTCGGTGGAGAAGGGGGAGGGAAAGCAAGGGTCTCCGTGCACTAACGTGTATGCTTCCATGCTTTCGGCACCTCTGCCTCCATAACAACTGTGGTCGACCACCGATACCCTTCAAATAATCCGGTTCAAAATATGTGCATTTTGATTAGGACCCCGCTTAACTTCGATAAAAGCGATAATTCGGAAAAATCGACTTTGTTATAGCGAAGGATTACTGTATGTCAGGGAGTCCCCAAAGAAAACATTGGGTTAAAAGTTGTTTGAGGAGCGAAAGTGCCATACTGTACTCATTTTCTTCGTGTATGGAAATTTTTTTCTAGTAATAGTTCCAGCACACCCTTGAGGAAAACAGTTTTGTTAGAGTACAACTATGGCATACCTAGTCAATTTACGGGAAAATAAATCAATTTTTTATTTCCAAATTCTTGTCAGTCCTATGTACATTAAATTGCACATTTGTTTTCAATGTCTTACAAATATGAAGAAATTCCACAAGGCAAGGCTCAGTGGCAATCGTAATGTACAGCTTGTGCTGCCATTTGAAGAGTTTTGTGGTGTATACTTGGCTTGGAGGCGCCATCTTTACCCTTAAAGATTGCGATGCAGGGTGTCTAGCAAATTATTATCTTGAAATTCCCCAACTTTTCCAGATTTTCCCTGACAAGTTCAGGTCAAATTCCCTGACCACTGTAGAAGCGGTTAAGTATGTAAGACCTTTACAACACAAGGCATTGAGCATTGAGCACTGGAGGATCATTTTGCACAGGCTTAGTCTAACTTGCATATTCCAAAATATTCGGGTTCGTCCACCACGGAGAAACGAGCACTTTCTTGCCGCCGACATCTTCAGTGAAGAGGTCACTTCCGGAAACACGATGAAAACGTGACGCTCGACCACACACGTCAATGACCGAATTCAGCATGGATGCACACTTTCAGGTTTGAATTAAATTACGGTCCGAGACTTTCAGGTTTAGATTAAATTAAGGTCTGCGACTTTCCCATTTGTTCCTAAATCTAGTAGCTGTAACTGAATCTAGCCTAGTGTCGCGCCCTCAATCCAATTCAATTCAATCGAAGGCTTGAACTGGATTTGTCGGCTCTTCCATTCGCATCGGGTAGCATACTCTACATCGAGTGAGCAGAGCCCGCGCTCCGCTCTAAGCAGATTTTATTGCCCATTTTTCTGCCCCCAAGTCGTCGAGCCTTTGCTCAGGGAGCTCTATGGCGTTTCCGGCTCACTTCCCCTGACAGGGCTCATTTTTTGACATTATCCTTGACAATTCCCCGATTTTTCCAGGTAATTAAAATTTTCCCGACAATTCCAGGTTTTCCCGGTCGCTAGACACCCTGGCGATGGCACCAAGCTCCAACATTTTACTTGTTTGATTGTCTTTTTTTGTTGAGTTGCTGATAATTGTGACATCAAACTAATTCATAAGAAGTTGGAAGATTAGAAGAGAATAAGATACTTTCTGGGTGCCCATAATATTCTTTTTAACAAACTGTTCATAATGTGCAATTAAATGTGCCTATCATCTCGTAAACATGCATCATGCTTACAGTTGCATTTTTTTTTTTCTTGCCAATTTGGAGTACCTCTCAACCACAATTGTATTTTTTTTTAAAGCTAGCTGTGCGCAAAATTTATGCTGGGCCTAAAGAGGATCTCAGATGCTTGTACCAGCATCAGAAAGAAGAGTACCTTTGCTCTACTCTGAAATAAATGTTAAGTTACACTTGTGGGCTTTTGTTCTACAAATTAGGTTCTGCTGTACTTTAGAAAGTGCTGAAAGACAAATTACCAGTCAGTGTTGCTGATAGGGCTAGGCAGAGCCGTATATAGAGAAAGTTTGGTCAATGGAAGGAGTGGGCAGAGCCAGGGCGTGGACGAGACGCAGATAGAAGGCGCGACATGCTCTCTTGGCCAACCAGACGCCGAAAATAATCTAGTAATAGCGAGAAACAATCTTAACAAGTGCTTAAGAGTTAAAGTGGAGTAACTCTTCATAGTTGAAAATATAGTGAGCATGATGTTTCAATTATGATTATGCAAGAAGATGCAAGAATCGGACGTGCCGCTTGAACTCTCTTTTGCTCGGCCGGAGTCTGACCACTTGGACTGCATTTTCCCGGCCCTCAGCGCCTGGTGTACGGATCATGTCAATCATTCTCCTAGAATTTGATTTTGTACGACCATGATCGAGAAATCACGTGCACCATGTTTTCAGTCACCGAGAGTTACTCCGACACACTTGTTTCTCACGACCACCGCCGGGGGACTATTCGCGGCTACTGGCTGGCCACATTTGAATCTGTGAAGATGCCCTGGAACATGCCGAGCCTGCTCTCGGCCAATGGTACCTCCTCAATTGCCTCCTATATTTCCCAATAAATGGCCAAACCCTTTCATTATATGGCTCTGGGGCTAGGTGGAGACTGAATAAAAAATAAAATGCACAAAGTGGGACAAACACAATTGCACTGTATAGATGGACATCGTTTATTTGCACAAAGAAATCAGCATAAAGTGTTGATCATCATCAGACAACATGTCCAATTCGATAAACGAGACATTCCCTAAAAGCCAAGTGGCAACAGAGACAGTATCAACATTTGGTAAGATAATTAAAGCATGCCACTCCTGGAACTCAATCCTGTTTGGCTGGTGGCACATGGAAAGTATCACGGCCTAATGTTCTTCCACGCCAAACCATTTTCCTGGAGAAAAAAAAAAAGTAATACACTGTTATCTGGAGGTCTTCTACATACTGTAAAATACCGGGCAAGCACCCACTCAATTTGGAGATGAACGCGAAAAGAAGGGAGATGGGCACTTGTCCGTTAATTTCACATATAAATGTACTGTGCCTATTTTTTCAGATCTCACAAATTTGGGAATGGGTGAATGCGTGGTATTCAACGGTACAACTTTGCGAGTGCCATTCAGACGTAAAAACCAATTCCCATAGATAAGCCCATGAATGGAGTACAATGAAACTCTCAGAGGTACTTTTTAGGGGCGAAGCTCCTTAGGGTCTAGCCTTGTCCATCCATCCGGCGTCCGTGCTCACATCGATAGCACTGCCTCTGGGATCGGCCCACTTTTTAAAAAAAAAATGTACGCCCGCACGGGGGTTGAAACTCGGGACCGCTTGCTTACGAGGCAGACGTCCTAACCACTACGCTACACTCCAACGTTGCATGTAGCCGCTCAAAGTCTATACAGGAGAGGGCGCTGCGGTCAAATGCGTATATAATCGCGTTAAACTTTGCACGCATTGGCTCAACGTTTATAGACAAGAGGGCGCTGCGGTCAAATGCTCAACTGCGTATATACCGTAATATCCCGAGTCATCGCCCACCCCCCAACCGCCTGAAATTCGTTAAAAAAGTGGGGTGGGCCATGTCTCGGTGGGTGAGCACAAACGCTTAAAAAAAACGGAAAAAACCGCCTATTTTTCTCTGCGTATCTAGCGCTGATGCACAAGAGATACATCAAACTCAAAACTCGATTTAGTTTCATTGTTTTATAGAAAAGAAATGCTCACGAAAGAATATTTTACTATAGCCAAGTCCGTTGCTTGCATACGCGCTAGAAACACCCCCGATCTGCATATAGCACGAACGTTTGTTCCGCGAAAGAATGTCACCATTATGTTCTCCTAGTTAGTAAAAAAAAAAAGAAAGAAAAGTCTACAAGAAAACAGAGAAACCGACCAGGCACAACGAGCGAGGGAGCGAGCGAACCAAAGAAGCGACCAAGAGCAATGCCGGGAAAGCGGGAAAGCCGGCCGTCGCGTTGGCAAATACTTTGGCGTCGGGCCAAGTCGGGCGCCTTGTCAATTGCAAGCTCTTGCGCAACTTTCTTGTTTGGTGGGTACATACGTGCGTCCGTGCACGGCGGGCTATCAATGCACGGTTGGGACGCTCTGCAAACGTCTGTGTAGGACGTTCCAGCAAAGCTCTATTTACGCTTTGGCTTTGCCTAAAATATTGCACAACAGCGGTCGCGACGGGCGGGAAGAAGGAGCGGGTTCGCGGTGACCTTACTTCGGCAAAGACAGACTTTGACCTAACACTCCGCGGTTACCTTAACAAACTCTTATTTTGTTATCTCCATCGTTTTCTTTTCGCACGGATACACGACCACTTTGGGGTCGCTCACGGAGGAAATGCGTAAACAAAAAGAAGTGTCTTTCCCTCCTTCGTTTTACTTTGTCACGGACGTCCTCCAACTGTAAGGTCCGCGGCCGCGTCATTCGGGTAGGATGAGTGTTCGCGGATCCCAGAGTCCGCGCTGGGGTATTTGAAGGGGTGGGCGATGACTCGGTGTTTTTTCGGAAATCGATATTGGCCCAAAAAATGGGGTGGGCGATGGCTCGGGGATGGGCGATGACTCGGGATATTACGGTAATCGCAATCCATACCACACATTCTCTTTCTGACATGGACCGTTGACTTAAGCGGTGGAGATGCGTTCCCACAGCTTCTAGCGGATCCAAGCTGATCCACTAGAAGAACCGCTGGCTCTGCATTTCACCGACCATAAAGCAGTAATAATGAAGTCGAAACGCAACCCGCAACTCAGCACTACCTATGAGCAATAAGAAAAAATAAGCACCATCAGCATAAACAATAAAATCAGTATCATCAGCACCACAAGAGCTTTGCCCCAATTAACATCATCCACCACGTGGAGATGCGGCCTCTTTTTGGTGTTGCATTTATCACTCGAATTTCACAAATAGTGAAATTTGCGTAAAAAAAATTATAAAGAAGTTGCCCCGTGGTCGTATTAGAGTGGCAAAGGCGGTGGTAATTCAGAATGTGATGCATTAGTGCAGAGAAACTGTGTAGAGATGTGGAAACCGGACGGCTCGAGGTGCTTATTTATGGGTGCCATCTTCTGCGGTTGCCGTGCAAGTTTGACTTTCTAGGAGCCCGTCGGAATGTGAGGCGCAGTAGATGGAGTGTGCAGGAAAATAGAACAATTGAAATGCGGCAGTGCCGAGCAGAGCCACGGCAGCAGCCTGCATCAAGAGAACCAAACACTCGCGATAAGTGAGGGTCTGCTTTTTTTTTCTCTTCATTTCTGCTACTCCCTCTTGCGCTCTTTTTTCAAGAAAGCCCAAAGCGCACCCATTTCACGGAGCAGAGCACTGCTGCATGTCTGAACATGCAATGTTTATCTCCCACCGGGAGTAACACGGAGTCGCTCGAGGAAGGGGTTCGTCTAACACTGGTGTCCAATCGGTGAGGAGAGGAGCGCCGCGTCGGCATTCAATTGGCAGTCGACCCGTCAACTTCCGTTGCTGGCACCTAACCAGATATGGTTAGATGCCAGCCACATAACATATTCCGCGTTTTAAATCATTCGAGCCACAAAAATCCCGTTATTTCTATGCTCGGAGAGAAAAACTAAAAAAAAAAAGAAATCTGCTTGATGCCGCTACTCTCGAATAGAACAGCAAGGAACAAGAGCTTGAAAGCTACTTGCATGGCACCATCCGAGTAGCAGCGTAGACCGAACGTTTTGTTTCCGTTTTTCTTCCCATGCGTAGGCATAACACTATTTTTTTTTGTTTTCTTTAAAACTTACACTTATGAAATTTTATCATGATAAATGTACCACCTAAAGACACCTTTGTGACAAGTGTCATCATACTCCGTTCATGGACTTGTTTATAAGATTTTTCTTCCACCCGAATAGCATTCGGAAACAATCGGTACAATACGAATAAAAAAACCTGAAAAACTTGTAGACTACAAGAAAGCAATTTGCTTCCGTCCTGCACTGTTGTGGCAAAGGCAGTGGTAATAACACGGAAGGTGTGGCATGTTGCTTCGTAGCAACGTTGCACAGATGAACTTCGTATGTATTTTGCGACACAATGGCACAAACATCGTCGTGCATACTGTCTCCAAAAGAAAACTCCAGCCCTCGATCAGGAACGGAAAGCAAAGTTAGCATTTCTTGAAGTTGCCCACCCATCCCCACCCTGCTACTTCGCGTCTGCCCATATCCTGCAAAGCATGCACTTTAATCCTTTCCCCCTTGCCTCGTGCAAGCTCTCCAGTCGTCCATATGTGCGCACTCGCTGCTTTGCAATGACATTTCGGACTCTCTTTCCGTGTGTCGTTGGTGCAGTTGGTTCAGCGCAGAATTGACAACTGAACGAGTAGTTTATTTTACTTCTTGCCTACTCCCTTAATCATTGCAGGAGCGCATTACAAGAGTCTGCAGGAGCCACGCAACCATAAACCACATTCAGAATTAAAAAGAAGCCGCTGCCGATTACACGCAACGTCACACTTTTTTCCTGAGCAAGCGCCATCGACCGACAAGGAACTTTTTACTTGGTCTCGAGTTCCCGACCGAAAACTATTTTAGTGGGAACTTTTTAACAGCAGGCCAGCATGTTGTGGACGTGCTTGTTCCAAGTTCTTTTTTTGTTTTCACCGGTGGATATCGGTTTGCGTTAGGCAGCCAAACGACTCAAGATTTGTGAGGGAAGTCATTGACAAGACCAGAAGTTTAGAGTGCAGATGTCTGCGGCTCAAACACGCAACCTAGTAGTATATATGGCTGGCTTGGACATTTGCATCAGACTGTGAGGAGTGCGTTGTTGATCTTTTGTGAGCACACCGGGTAGACTTATGAGACTTCCAACCTGTCTGTAAGTAAACTGAAGGTTTCACGGTATTTGCAAGATCATATCTACGCACTATTTATGAGAAATAGTCACTTATGACACTGTCAGAATGATTTCGAGCCCACAGCAAACAAATTATCTATAAAAAGTAATCAAATACATACACGAAGCGGTAGTCTTCCAGATTCGTAGGAAATTCCAACACGTAACAATGCACTCCATGTTAAGCAGACGTAGGTGCTTGAACCAGCCTTATAACTTTGTTGCAGGACTGAGTTCGTGGGAGACGACCAATCTTCAGTTTGGTTAGTAAAAATAAATCTGGGTGATGCTGGTTTTATGTTCGTCAGCGAAAGATGCTCGTAGCAGAGAGATTGGTTTGTCTCTTCCGTTAACAAGAGAATCGTCTGCTAACGACACCTTAGCTCGCTCTGTGACAGCCAAATACAGCAACCAAAATCACGCCCAACCTCACCCTCAAAGGTCTTGTAAGAAAATCCTCCAGGACCGGCGTCTGGAAAAAGAGCACCTCGTGTAATGCAGGTCTGACAATCGCTGGATCGTAAACACCGCTTCGAAAAAAAACTTGTGAAAGGGGACCTCACCGGTGGAACTGGCTGTTTTTGTGTCGTCCACTGCAAGTGTGTCGTCGGATAAGAAAACCACAAGTAAGCATTCTTGAAATTAAGGATGAGGAAATACAAACTCTGGAGCCTGACAAAAACTCATATAGAAATCTCTCCAATTCTGTGGTTATTACCCAAACACTCCACCAGCATATTTCATTTCGCTTTAACTGAGTGCAGAAGCTACAAGAGTGAGCTCCATTTTTTTTAGCCCTGTGCAAGTGTTGTTGAGGACAACATACTTGGGGCTTTGGCATTGCTCACGCTTAAAGGGTTACTAAGGCGTTTTCCTCATAGTCCCCGATTTGTCTGAAAAGTTATTAAACACAAACATTGCCGAAAAAGTAACCCAAATATTGGGCCAAAATTAATTTTGTTTGCGAAGTTGTTGAATTTACAACTTTGGTCTTTGCCGTGTTTCTCAAGGTGAAAGTCTCTATTAACTACAATGAAAAAGTGACGTCAGGGGAAGGCAGGGGGCAGGGGTTCACTCTTTAGACTGTAGATTTTGTTCCCAACTTCCAGTTTCATGGTGCCAAATAAATGCTACGAAAGCTTGCTTCAGCGACCGCGCAGCAGCAACTGTGCAGCAGCACGAAAGAAATGCTCAGCATAGTCCATATTTAAACAGCCCCTTGACCTGCAAGCCTGCCTTTCCGGCATCACACTGCTGAAAAGCGCGGGTAAATTTGAATGTCAGTTTTGGCATCATTTCCACTTGCCGATTTTACCATAACTCTTTTGAATTTCGCGATACTAAATAGCACACCGGAAAGACTAAATACCGGTGATTCTGAAAATATAGTTAGTTGGGGTAGCTGGAGAAATCGCCGGAGTACCCCTTTAAGGAGAAGCAAACTATAGGCCTTCAAATACTGGCTGAAAAGATGTCGGAAGAAGGGAAAACTGATTTGCAAAGTGAGGGATGACCACAGTGCTGAAATGGTTTAACATGTAGCAATATTGTCATGTATATATTTATTACTCAGTACTCTAGTTAGAAGAGAAAGATGATTGGTTTATAAAGGCACAAGGCGAGTAAATCTTTCAGCACGCTCAGGCCCGCTCACCTGTACACTTTATCTTCTAGTGAGAAACTATGAAGCGTCGAGTTATGGTGCCAGTTACATGGACGGGCTCTGTCCTCGACTTAGATGTCCGCACGCTACTACAGCGAATCGGCTTGAGTCATTTTGGAGCACGCTTTGGAACAGCCAAAAGTTCATTTTGAAGCAGCAAAAAAAACCTTTGGAGCAGAACTGTGAATTCTGTTTGCATTCAGGCTACTGTGAATACTAACTTCGAAAAAAAAGTCAAGCATCGGCTTGTCAAATAAAAATACAGTGCCTTCTTTGCTGCCACAACCTCCTTGCAATGTAAATTTCACAAACACTGAATTAGCGGTTCAGCCCTGCTGAAAAGCACCAGACAAGGAAATGTACCGGGAACTGAATTATTAGAAGCAAGTCAAGAATCAAAATGAGCTTTTGGCACAGCATTGGCACAAATTCATCCCAAATCAGCATGTAAACGGGTGAGCCTATTGGCACAGTTTGGTGCAATAGGCACAGCAATCACATCACTGCAGCTAACAAGCCGGCTGACAAACATACCTCATAAAATTGTATTCTTACACAGTTTTGGGTTTCAGAACCTCTCTATATGAATTTAACAGTTTACAGAAGTGCAAGTTTCAATGTTCTGCGTCAGACATGGATAGAACTCCTAGAGCTATGCGGAGCGCTAGTTTGTCTGTTTCTTGCACAGGGTTTGCGGTGGTGTCAGAACACCAAGCTCTCATCGGCTGATCCAAAAAAAATAGTAGGCAGATTTCAAGGAATCTAGTACTGAGGTCTGCCCACTATCCTTCCAATCAAAGCTAATCAGATCTCGGCGTCGTGTTGACGTCACCGCAACCCCTGCGCAAGAAGCAGACAAATTGCTCTCCGCATAAAGACATAGTGTTCACATTGGTGCCCTAAACATAATGGCACACAAAGAAGCAGCCATCAAAAAGCACATTATCTCATCACCCAGACTAACTGATGGTAGTGCGTGCCGTAGACGACGGTGTTGGAAAGACAGGCGGCGGGCTGATGCAACTTTTTTCAGAGAACTGAATGTGCCTCAATATGTCCAACCCTGTCCTAGAAGCTTTAAGAAACAAAAAACAACTTATAATCAAAGTCATGGTTAGGAACTCAGAGCCATTACAGGGAGCAATTAATCATTCCTGAAGCACATTAGAAAAAAATGAGCTTACCTCAGAGGACACCGTCAGTTCTGGAGTTTGGGCACCAAACTAGATTGAACAATGTGCAAATCACCAAATATTATGGCACAGTTAATGAGGAACTACAACTGCATATACTACATGGGCAAAGTTATATTTCTGAAACAAACTTAAAAAGGTTGCAATTAACAGTAAAAAATAACAGTCTTGGTTCAAACATTTTCAGTGATGCCTCATGTACGAGGAAAAAGCGAAGATTGGACACAAAACAAAGCTGGCGATGCACCAAAAGTACTTTGGCTGAGGGATGCGACGTGAAGGATCAGTGCTGACGAACGTTTAAGGGGGGACATCCGAACGTTTAAGGGGAAAACTTTTTTAGAAAATGGCAATCTCCAAATCTACAGCTATTTTTCTTTTGATCTGCAGTGTCTTACATTGAAGATTAACATTTAAGCCGTAATATCACTTTATAATATCTATATAGGCTGAAATTCCACTGAAGCTGATGCTAAAACAACACTTTCTTCAAACACAAATTTTGGACTCCTTACAAATTTTCGGAAGGGATATCTCAGCATCAAGGGCAGACAGAAAGGTAACATCTGAGCACCATGCGACTAAATGTGCAAGGCATGCAATGTTGGAAGCAAATTTTTCAATGAAGGTATAGGAAAGCTTTTAACTGAAATTTTGTTTTATTGCTCGATACAGACACACCGAGCACTGAACTTCAATGTGTTGTAAAGCCCCTGCAAATGGTTCAATCTAAAAAGTGCTTTGAACATTGCATATGTTAAAACATTCTTTTAAAAAAAAATATTTGTCTATTGTTTTTGGAAACAAAGTCTGGTTAATTATAATTATCCTAAGAAGTAACCTACTGGCACAGTCGCCTACCCATTTTTAGGACTCTGAGGGGACCCCAAAATTGTCCAAATAACAAAGCGGTCCGAATAATCGATGTCAGCCAAAATATCAAAATTTCGCTGCATATTGGCCGCTTTCCACTCGCTTGATGTCAATTTTAAGTTCTCGTGCAACTGCCGCTTTATATTGTTCACTTTTCACTTGTTTGTCGATCTGTTTGATCAAGGTGCTGCACTTCGACGGCGCCTTCGTTGGCACAACAGCGAAGTTGAAGTTAGCGCCATTTGGCACTATTTGTAGACGACGTTTAGTCCACCAGGCTTGCTTCAATACTAAGCCTATCGGCAAAAAACCTTTGTGCCCAAAGACCACAAGAACGGCAGATGGCCGCTCTTCTCGCGATCGCACTCGGAAAACATGGACCACGGGATGAACTGGACGAGCCATAAGAATGGGCACACAGCAGCCATGTTGGTTATAGCGGAGCCAAACAACCCAGCTATAGCCTCAACCCACCTTGTTTATTGCGTAAGACGTGGTATCGAGGCTACAGGGCAAAATCAAAACAACCATAATGGCGGTCACTAAGCTCGCGGCCATGGATACAATCATTGCACAATTGTATCCATGGCCGGAAAATCCAGGGATAAAACGAGCCCTTCCAGTCGTAAGAAGCGGATGCTTACCCTTTCCGTGAGAACAGCTGTCAATCCGGCTCCCTTTGGGCACTCCTTTAAAAAAAAAAGAATAAATGCCACGAGTGAAACGAGCGCGTCGAGCCGCTTACGCAGCCGGCACGTGCCACCGCCGGTGGAAGGCAGAAGTGTATTGTGCATTACCCGGCTTCACCCATTCAAATGGGGCGAGGCAGATACACCGAGACAAGGCCATGTTACCGTTTCTCCAACTACGATGCAGCTTGCAACATGCAACATACGATTCTGGGGCATATTTCAACATTAAAACATTCAGCCACACATCGAAACTTATACTTCATTTTCTATTAGTAACATTTCGTGGCAAATCCGACCTAGGTGAACGGAGTACAGTTGAATGTCGTTTTATTGAAGTCACCGGGACCCGCTAATTATTTTGTTAAATCGGGAACTTCGTAAAATCGATGAAGAAAGACCTCACGCATAGGCTGCGTGGGGAATCCGAATTTGTTCATTAAATCCGGAAATTCGTAAAATCAGGTTTAAAAAAATTGAGGTTCAACTGTATACTGCGGAGAAGTATGTTGCTAACTTTCAGCCATCTTTGTTAGGAATAGAGCAAACATATATGAACACCATCAGCCTATGCAGCCACTGTGCAAGCCGACGGAATGCCTGCCTCATGAAATAAAGATGCAGTAGGGCCTTGTTAATACGGACCCCGTTAATGTGGATACAGACAATACTTTCTGGGACAAACTGGGTAAATACTTCATTTTCATCTCGTTATTGTGGGCAACTCACTTTATGGGGGTGTCGAGATGTCACTGTAGTTAAAGCACCTGTACTGTCTTACTTGCTTGTTCGTTTCCCATTTGCATAGAATAAATACTCCAGCCAGCTTCCGAAGGGTGCCAAACTTGAGTGCCTCCACATCAGTCGTCCGAATCAAGACTCGACAATCAAGATTTATATTCATCTAACCGGAAATCATTGCACAATCCAGAAGCCCAAATTTAGTCTCCTGTGAAACCGAAAGCCTTCTCGGCTGCCGATTGCACGCAACATTTTTTCGGGGCAAGCATTATTCACCAATGGGATATTTTTGAACTTGTACAACTCTCGAGCTCCCGATCCAGCATAATTTTAGTGAGTACTTCTCACCTACAGGCTCGGGGCTGCAGACAGGCCTGTTCCGAGTTCACCTTTCCTAAAGCTGCTCTTTAACAGAACCCCACAATCCCAAAATTTTGTCCATACATCCATTTTCCGCGAAGTTTAGCAGGGAAACCGACGTCGCATAACTTATAAATCAATTCAGTTTCCCACACCAGTTCAGTTTTGAAAGCAAAATTTAGCGGGAAAAGCAATGTCATGTGACCTCTACATCAATTCAGTTTTGTCACGAAAATTTAACTGAAAATGGACCTCACGTGACCCACACCAATCCAGTTTCCCCACTAAATTTTGCGGGGAAATACATGTCACGTAACATACCAAATCCCTCTCGCTGCCTTCCTTTCCCACCCTATCTTTTCCCCTCATTCACCCTCCTAGGATGTTCTCCCCATCTGCCTTGCTCTCCTCCCTCCCTGTTCCCTCCCTTCATATTACTTTCCCATTCTCTACAGTGCCCTCTATTCCTCCCCTTCTTGGTCACGTGATGCACCAATTTAGTTTTCCCACTAAATTAATTTAGCAGGTATGTATACATCACGTGACACACTGATTCCCGCCCCCCCCCCCCCCCCCCCCCCCTCTTTCCTCCGTTCCCTCTCCCTCCCTTCCCCCTCATGTTTATATAACATAACAATTTGTTTTCCCCGAAATTGACCAAAAATATAGGTTCTTCACTCCCGAAACTATTGCCTTCCAAACATTTGAAACAATTACATGCTAAATACTGCATTTCATGCATTACAGGCCTTTGAAGATAAAGGTCACTGCCAATTTTTTTTCTTCACCAGCAAATGTTGTTTTGCATATGGCAGCAAAACGTACCGACATTTGCAAAGAAAGCACAGGTTGTCAAGATGACCTGAAGTTTACAGTGTAGGCATGTGCAATTCAAGCTCGAGTTTTATCACTACAGTCGAGCCCGGTTATATCCCATCCAGGTATTTCGAATTATAGTTTATGTCAAACACTCCACACATCCCCTTGAAAATCAGATGTAATAGTATAGGAGCGTTGTTTTACTGTATCAAACTCCCAGAACTCCCAAGGTGAGGACACTCGTACAGCGAACAAAGTACGGCCGCCCGTCACTTCTTTCACTTCTCCCGCAGTTCGATTGCGCCGGCGCCGTCGGCGAGCACGTGACTCGTGTTGCAAGGCTGGCAGACTGCCAAGCCAGCATAGTGCACGAGGATACGTAATGAAAGACCAGTTGTAAAAAAAAAAAAAAAACTGTTTAAAAAAAAAAATGTGGAGGATGGCAAAAGTAAGAGGAAGGTCACGCGTGTGCGTAGGGCGGGCAGGGAGTGCCCGCTGTTACAACGGTAGCTTGAGCTCTTTCCCCGAACGCCGTTGTCAGTGAGACTCCTTAGCCCCAAAATAAAATATGCAAAAAAAAGAAAAAAAAAAGTCTGTCAAGTTGAGTGCGTTACAATGGTTGAGCAATCACACTTTGAATGCCTTACCTTTATTTTTTTTCTTTTGCCGTTTTTGCTTTGCCAGTTTTTTCATTTTGCCTTTCTTTTTTTTTTAGGGGTGTGCGAATATTGAAATTTTCGAATACGAATCGAATATGAATAAGGCGAAAAACTGACTTTAAATATTGAATCGAATATGTCTCTAGTAATAAAAAAAAATTACAAAGAAAGAGGAAAGAGCATGTTTTATTACCTTTTTTTGAAATAAATCAATGGAACTGCATTTTACTGGGCTGCAACAGGCTAAAGATACTTCTAGTAATGCAGTCATTAAAAATTATCATGCAGGAAAATTGACTGCTCAACGTGTTCAGAAAGTAAGCGCTTCCTATGCCCCGTGACAACATTTCTGCTAGTATAAAATACCTTCTCACTCGAGACTAATGTAGCGGGGATGGCCGAGTAATTCTGAGCGAGTTTGCTTCAATGCGGGTACTTAAAGTGGCTAATGCACTGCCACCACTCTCAAGGATCCTTGCCCCTGTCCAGGAGAGGCTTTTTGGTATATTCTGTAACTTCCCTCTCTGAGACAGATGCCAACTGAGTCTTCTCTTTGTTCTTCACTAGATGGTCAAAAGCGTTCCATACACCGGATGCCACCAGTGGACATGAAGACGACGCTGGCATGGCAGTGTCCCCACTCGGTTCCACGTCAGCTGTCTGGAGCTTCCTTGTCACAAAGTCTTTCAGCCAGATGATATGGCCAGACGTCTGATAAACTGTGCCTTTAAAACGAGGGTCAAGAAGCATAACCAGGCTGGCCACTTCATCAAAGTCACACTCTGCAAAAGCGAGTCGTGATACATTTTTTTAGATTGTCAGCAAACCCCCGAGTTATTTTTGCAGCCGTCAAGACTATGCAGCATTCCAAAAAAAATGGGAATTTGACATGACAATGAGCGGTACTTTTCACCACTTGTGATCACAGTTGCATCGAACAAGGGCTTCCATGCCTCCACAAACTCCACTGCACCTCTCCACTCGGCAGAATTAAAGCCATGTATGGTAGCGTTCGAAGTGGCAAGCTCAAAAGTGATGGCTTCTTTCAGTTCGAGGAGCCTTGAGAGCATGAGGTACTGACTATTCGATCTTGTGTCAAGACCCTGAACAACATGGAGCTCGTCTTCGTTCAGCTGCGTCTTCAGATCGTCCAGTCGTTTATGCGCACTAGGGCTATGCTTGTAATGTCCTACAATTGATCTTACCTTCTTGCACAGTTTGTTGATAGCCAAACTACACGTCCTCGCATCACTGATCTCCAACTGCACTGTGTGCGCGAAACAGGCTCGCTCAAACCATGACAACCGCTTGGCAGCCGCTCGGATATTGTGGCCGTTTTGAGTCACGATGTACTTCACGCAGTCGGTTGGTATCTCCCAGTCGGCGCACAGTTGATCCAATGAAGCAGCAATGTTCACTGCCGTGTGACTCTCCGGCATATGTCGCATGTTCAAAGTGAACCTTTTCATCTCGAATTTCACGGGGAGAGAATGACACGTACGGTTAACAAGCCACCATTTTTACGCGAGGTCCAGATATCGCCCGTAAAAGAAAGAGTGTTTGTTCCGTCATCAAGTGCCTTTCACAGCTCGAACCGTACCTTTGCTCTTGTGTCGTCGTACAGGCGCGGGATGAGCAAACGCGACAATTTTGTTCGAGAGGGCAGACTGTAGCCAGGGACGGCTTCTTTCATGAGTGCCTTGAACCCCCGGTCTTCCAGAAAGCTGTAAGGCTGGAGATTTAAGGCGACCACCTCTGCCAGTTTTTGAAAATGTGTTTTCTTTCTTCTGTGACAAGGGCTGCTTTCTCTGTTCAAATATATAATCCTTTGTCGGTTGACTCTTCGAAGGCGTGTTTGCTGCATCTTTTTTGTACTCTTCCATCAACAAAGGGTGCTGTTTTATGTGATTTTGAAGAGTTGTGCTTGTTCACGTCAACGTTTAAAGAACACGTTCGTATGGCTTGCACTGAGCTGTCGACGACGAGAGTCTTGTGTAGTACTGCCAAAGAAGACTTTTCCCGGCTTTCTTTTCCTGCTTGCTTGGTGGCTCATCATCCGAAGTTGATGCCATTCTTGGAGTACATGTTCGAGCGAGAACAGTACCAGCCACTTTGGTATTAGCACCGAGAGAGTTGCGCGGCAACGCAGCTGGCGTGGTTTACGTTTTGACAAAAGTCAAATTAGTTGTTAGTTGTTTATACAGCAGGAGGTTAGTCTGCCGGAACATAGCGACATTGTTACCCAATGCAGATAAGCAATTTAGCCAGTGCAATACGACTGCTAGCCTGGGGTCTTTAACATGCACCACGCAGTAGTGATACACGGCCGCACAGCGGTATACGATGCTCATCCAGATCGAAACGGGCAAGGGTGGGGATTGAAGCCAGAATCCCTGGGTTCTGCAGGGATCCTGGGTTCAATCTCCACACCTGCCCGTTTGACTGCGCGGGAGTGGCAGGAGTTGTTGTCGATGGCGATGCAATGTTCTGCTCGCACCTAGCTTTTTTGGTTTTTAATTTTCAATCATTTATATAAGATAACACTTTTGAGATTTACTTTATACTTATATTTCACTCTCAATGTTTATTTTACTCTATCAATTTATGGAATGCACAATTACATCACATATTGCTATAAAAAGCCACACAATAAATGGCTTGGTGAAAAAGAAACCAAAACTTGATCCTGTCTTTCCGCCATCGGACAAATGGAAACAGAGCAGACCGATGGCGCACGCATCACACGCATATCTCAGTGAATAAACATATCCATAGGGGAATTGCTTGGCAGGCAGATTATTCGTTCCTTGCTCCAATATTCGCAGTTTGTGCAAATATTCAACGTTTTTCCCGAATATTCGGCCGTGGCCGAATATTTGGGGACTTCCGAATATGCAATTTTCGAATTGAATATGTTTCGAATGAGGAAAATATTCTATTCGTATTCAAAATTTTTAATATTCGCACACCCCTATTTTTTTTTCTGCCTGAATTTAATGAGGTTTCTTTTTTGTTGCTAGCTGAACTTTATTCTATGGATCGAAAGTTTTTTTTATGCGGCTCGCTTTTTCCGTTGTTTCATTTTTTTAAATGATTTTTGTTTTGTCATTGGCGCTGTGTGGAGGTCGTGGCCTCGCAATCATCGTCGCATAAACGACAGTAATTGTGATCGCAATCACCATCGTTTACGCGACGGTGATTGCAATTGCAATCACCGTCGCCGCCGTCGTGTGTAAATGCGGCGGTGTTTGTGATCTTCACCAACTTAGCTCTACCGTATTTAGCGCCTCTTAAAGCTGTACTTGGTAAGGTCACGTTTGTCGCGGCCTTCAATATTAGTAGAGACGCGCAGAAATTTCAACTGGAGCTTAAGTTAACATATTTTTGTACATCAAATTATTGATATATCAAACTATTTTACGATCCCCTTTGAATTCGATATATCCGGGTTCGACTGCCGCAGAACTGAGCTTGTAGCCGACGATCGGCCTTCCTTCAGTTCTGTTGGCAGACGACACGCAGGTGCTTTTTGGTCTTTGGCGAATCACACTTGCAGCAGACAAACCCCCGTTCTTCGCTCGCGTTAGCAGGCAAACCCTCCGCCGAGGACACCTGTACTCGCTTTGAGACTGCCAACTTGGATCTTGCTCTCACAACAACTAAAATCATGTCGAGCCTGCGCCTTACTTTCCGAGGTCTTGCAAGGAAATCTTCCAGGACTGGGGTCTGCAAAGTATGGCACTTTTTAAAACACGGGTCTCAGAACGAGCAGGTCTGAAGCTTTGTGTTCGAAAACTTGCAAAAGGACATCTCACCGTTGCATCTGCCTCTTTCTGCGTCACCCACTGCAAGTACGTCGTCAGGAGAGAAAACCAAGAATAAACATTCTTGAAGTTAAGAGTGAAGACATGCGAGCTCTGAATCCTGACAAAGATTATACCGTAGACAACAACTTGTGTAAAAACCCAACTTTAGCGAATTTCCAAATAAAAAAAATATAGCACAAAAACGAATACATAACCTCAGATAACAAATACATACCACTCACATTTGCAAAATGTTGTGTCCACAGAATACTTTCAAAACATGCATATCGCAAAACTGGCAAAATATTGAGCCTGCAAAAATACTGTTGTTCACTGTACGTTAGAAAGCTTTCTCCATCTGTGGCCATTACCCAAACTTGTAATACTATACTTGGGAAGAACTATGTGTGGCACTTCTGGGGAGAGGAGCATGCACGCACGGCTTTAATCAAAGTGCAGGCGCACGCGCCCGTACCTCAGACTGATTTGCGCGACGTCATTTTAGCACCAATCAAGCTATTTGCTGACGATAGTATTATATTTACAATAAAGTACAAACACCAAATGACCAAGTCGAGCCAAATTGCAATCTACAAAGAATGAAAAACTGGTGTGGCCAATAAAAAATAGTGCTGACTCCCCCCCAAAAAAATCAGTCTGTATGTCAATAACCAGAAAACATATTTTGCATCATAATTATAGCATAGATGGTGGCATGCTTAACGAGGCCAATAAATATAAATACTTGGGCTTAACATTTACTCCTGATCTACGATGAAATACCCATAGTGATAATGTTTAAAAAAAAAACTAGCAAAACATTGTGGTGCCTGAGGCAAAACTTAGCTAGCTCGACACCTGAAATAAAAATACTTGCTTATAAAACTTTAGTTAGACCTATTATTGGGTGTTTCCACATCAGATCGTACAACGACTGTCCAAGTAAGTTTGGGTATTTCTGCAAGAAATTTACGCGAAAACCATGTTCTTGGGAGGAATATTCAGCTATATGTGAATGCTGTAGCTAAATTTTTCCCAGAGATACAACATTGAGAAGCTCGAGGCATGTATACTGTATTGCCAAGATTTCATTATGGTAATTTGCACAACCGCCAACGTCACACCAAAGCTGGCAAGTAGTTACTTTTTCATTTATTTTATAGACCATTTACCACCTGCAATCCAAATATTAAAAATTACAATCAAGTATTTCTACACAAACAAAAAAAATATTAGGAAGCACGTAAAAAAAAAAACACGTCTCGGAGACACTTTTACAAATTATTTACCAACAAACAACTTTATGCAAAATGTTGCAAAATATATCAAAGTGTATGTCTTGAAATGCAGCTTACAAATATATATAACGATACTTGCTTAGCCGTTTTAGTTTCAGCAACTCTGCTCAATTTAGAAAATGTTGAGACAGTGGGTGACGTAAACGTGAAAAGTACTCCAAAACAGCCTTAGACCGTTTGTCTCATGAAAAGCAAAATATTTTTTGCATGATCATGTTATTTATTATAATCGCAAACCGAAACCGAAACTTCGGCACAACCGGGCAACATTGTACCCTCGACGTCGGTTGCATACGCACCCACGTGGGATACAAGAGGACAGGTGATCTGCCAGCGTTAACCCAAAAATGACGAGGATGCACGGGGAAGGGCAAGGAGTAGGGAGGGAGAACGGGCAAAGCGGTGGCGGCGAACAGTCAACGTAAGCGACGACGAGGCAGGCTATGTAGGCGGCAACCCAGGCAGCTAAAAGTCAGCGAAACATAGCGTGCAACATCCCGCACCACTCTCTCCCTCTTCTGGTTTCTCTTCTTATCATTCGTTCTTTTTATCTCTTTTGCCTCTTCGCTTGCTCAGACATGGCTAGGGTTCCTGTATGGGCTCCCTATGGGGGCCAGAGTTGCACATCCGTTTTCCACATGCCGCCGCGCCGCTATTCGCCGAGATCCGATCACGTGAGGAGCAGACTCCAAATGCCGTGCAGGGAAGCCGGTGCTACGGGGATGAATGCGCAACTCTGGCTCCCGTAGGGAGCTTATACAGAAACTTCAGACGCGGCACACCGGCAGCGTCATCTGGTAAGCTCTCCCTGGAAAAGGAAGTACTAGTGATGGGCCAAACTTTTGCCAAATCGAAAGTTCGGTGCCGAATCTTGAGAATCGGCAACGCCGAACTTCTCTAAAGATTTGACAAAAATACATTGCTACCAGACTTAACATTGATATTCAATTTTTTCTGGCGAAAAAAGTTTTTTTTTTTTTTCGTAACTTAGATGCAACATGTAATGCATATTGACACAGTTACTAAATGGGGTGATATTCTACAAGATAATTGTATCAGTGTCGTCTTCGTGTGTTACTGGCAACTTTAGTGACATGCTTGCAGAAGTGGTGTGGCAAGGTTGGGTAGTAGCGAGCATGGCGCAGTCACGAATCACGCTACGAGAGTTTCGGTTTTGAGGCATCATCAGCGCAAGCCTGCGAGTGTGCACATCATTAACATGAAGGCAATAGGCAACCTGCAATGCAGTTTGGTGCTACACGTTGCACCATCTAGCGGCTGCAAAATAATGAAACTGGGTAGGCCAGGACTATGTGGGGCTGCGGGCGGGCGCATCCAGAAACCACGTGAGAATGTTGCATTTCAGATCGGCGTAAGCTTTTTTAGAACCGTTTTTCATAAAGTAAGTCCCAGCTTCACGTCTCTATAACCTCACTGGGTTCCTGTGACATCTCGCCTACTCCTAGAGTTCCCCCAAAAAATAAACGTTGCTACTTCTGCACGAAAGACGGCCACAGTAGCGAAGATGACTCAAGCATCGAACTTCACCGCTTCCCTTCGAGATCTTGGGAAGCGACACAGCGAAAGAATTGGATTACTGCAGTGCGACGCAACAAGTAAGTAAATTTTATAGAAACTGTTGGGGGAAAATGAACAAAATCTATGCGCAGGCTTGGAAAGTGGTCGAACAAACTTATTTTGCAGACTACTCGGCAAAATAACATATTTATACAAGTTGTATTACGAGTCGCTTTGACAGCCACATTAGGGAAATACGATAGGAACAATCGGGCCGATTGTTGCTTCGCTGTGACGTCGAGAATCGGGTGATCAGGTCTTCAAGCGAAAGGTCCGTCGGCCCATTCCGGCACTTCTAATGCCGTTCGGCACGCGTGGTCGCAACCAACACCTTCCAAACCTGCGAGTTTTCAAAAAGTGGATTTTCGTAGTACAAAGTTTTGTTTGTTTCAGCAACCAAATTTAATGCCGAGTCTGGTAACAAAAGTGACGGCGTGCAGAAAGCAGAATGCTAGTTTTCTTTAGAAAAATCTCGTGCGAAGCGTAAATATCCTTCTTACACGTAGTACGTACACTTCGTTGCCTGTCGCCATTTTACACCAGGCTTTGCAATGTGCGTACGGTTCTGTAGCACGCAGAGTTTGGTTCTAATTACCCAAATTTTATTCTAGTGTGTGTGGGCGTCGGGAGGAAAGGACGGCCGAGCGAGGCGCGAGCGGGGCCAGCCGGCGAGGAGAGGAAGAGCGTACTGCACGAGGCTGGGGCCGGGCAGGAACGATAGAGCTGTTCTGGCTGGTCTGGCCCATGGCGATTCCCGGGAGCATTCCACCAGCGAAGTTCGGATCAGGACCGGCGAAAGCGGCGAACCCTGACCATACTGGCCTAGTCCATGACAATCCCGGAGTGGTTCCACAGTGAGACTCTGGCTGTGATAGCCCGGAACAGCTAGCCTACGCAGCACTGGCGTGGGAAGGGCGATCCGCAGGCCTGGACACGGGCTCCGACTATGAGCTCTGAACGACGGGTGTCAAGTAGGGTCGGCGGGTCCAGACTGCCGGCTCTCGAAGCCGGGCAACTGGGATGTACAATAAACCCATGCGCTGCCTTCTCATTGTGTTGTGTCACTTCCTGGGAGACGAGCGATGCACAGACCGATCGGGCGGTAACAAGTAGTGAAGACAACTCAAACTGGGGTCCAAATGACGACTCTAGAATATTGTTTCAACACTTGGACCTATCAAGGCTTCCGATGGTCTTAAATAACCGCATAAAAGAACCAGGGACATGGCACGCAGGTGCACACGGGGACTGCTGAAATCGGGGTCGTCGCTGCTCGCAACGGCCCGACGGGTAAACCGGCCGCCCCATTAACAGAGACGCCTCCGCTTGTGGCGCTGAATGCAGTACTCTCGTGGCGCCGCCTGGCCATTGCCGGCTGCCTATACCGCTGCGTTCTTGCTTTCTCTGGGAGTCATCATTTCGTACGCGAAAACGAATGTAACGGATGCTGAGCCTTTACCGAAAGAGATAGCAATATTATTGTAAACATGCATGTTTTTCGATTTGAGTCACTTGACGTCAGCTTTGCATGAAAGTGTGAGTCCCATATTTGCAACGTCTCGTTTTTAACCTTTAAAATGTCAGTTACTGGTGTTAGAACACACACAAACGTTTAGGAAGACGGGGAAAGCTAGGAATGTCGGATGTGCAACGTTGAGCATTATAGTAGTTCTGTGTTTAGTTTTATGACGATACGTGAAAATCGCGAAATAACGCTAATTGAAAAAGCAACATTTTGTTTTTGCACACACTACTTCTGAGCCAGAAACAGGTTTGTTATAGTTGCGAGGAGTGCTTTAAAGTAATTGCCAGCCAATGTTTCAACTGCCTCGTTGCATCACTGAAAAGGTCAAATGAAAATCACGTTATCCAGAATGTACCGCATCATTTGTCACCTGCGCAGTTCTTCTATTCTTGAGGCAGAAAATAGTGAAGAGAACCACACTGGCTCACAAGCGCGCAGTTACTGTGTTGCCTACTCCACACCGCACAGTCACCGCCGATTGTACTACACTGCACAGTGGTAACCGTACGAATGCACGGCGTCCATTTTGAATTCCTGGCCCCGTCACATTCTTGCACGTGCACAAACATTTGCCGAATTTTTGCTGAATCTTTGCCAAACTTTTCTTCAAAAGTTTGGCATTTGCCGAATCTGAAGTT